GGAGCTTCGTTCCCGGGATGTTGAGCTGTGGCTGCGGCGAGTTTTCCCGCGCTGAGTCAGGAAAGGGTCTAACTGGGACCCCAGGCGACTCCCAGCCGCCCCTAGATTCTCCCCGAAAGGGAGCCACCAAAATACAGAACTCGCCTCTCCCCTTCCACTCCACTCCCCTTGGCGAAGGGCTGCAGCCATCCCGAGCTGGGACGTCCTCCAGGCCAGCGTCTCCCTGGCTAGGGTGGGAAGGGTGACAGCCTGCGTGCTCTTGGGCGAGGATGCGATGTGACAAGGTGGACAGAAGTTAAGTTGCCAGTAGGTGGTTAAAATCTTGGAAGCTGTCTCCAGGGACGACACTGAGTCGCTTCAGGGCTGCTTCTAAACTTTGGAGGATCAATGAAATCTGAAGCTTTTTCCCCTAGGGTATTGGGGGTGGTTTTCCCTCATCATGTCGGAAATAGTGTTGAAGATTTATGTCCTTGGAAAACCTAGTTTTAACATTTATTGCACACCAGGAAGCCACCCATAGGTACAAGTAACTTGAGTACATATTCATTGTTCTTTGTCGTTGATATTTCCCAACAATCCTTTCATCGAAAAAAGAAAAACGTAATGAAGAGTAGCAACCAAGGTGCAAGAACTGTTTCTCACACCGGCAATTACTTTTAGAAAGCATCCTGGGACCCAGGGCTGACTCTCAGCAGAAAGCTTCCTTTCTCCAGGAACTAAGTCAGTTTTGCTTTTTGATGGCTGGAATGGTTATTTCACCGTTGTAATTTATATTAGAGGACTAATGTGAAGTTTAAATTAGATAATTCAATGTAGTAAATGCTTTTCCCCTACTATTCTCTGGTTTTATGTATGGTCTGTATCTGACGACTGGTCATCAATATCGGCATATCTTCTTTCTCAAATGCTAGAAATTATCTGACTCACATCTGAAGGTTTGCTCTTGCCTCAGACCCTAGGAAAAACTTGCTATTATAGTCAGGAAGACTAATATATATATATA